CGATGAGAGAGAATCATCGATCAGCTGCCTCTTGCAGACCTCCCACCGGGGATATGCCCGCAACCCAGGTACATGCCCTTGACAGGAATCAAACCGGGACCGTTCAGTCCGCAGGCTGATGCTCTATCCACTGAACCAAACCGTTTTTGGCAAATTCCCAGCTTTTTAAAAATCAAATTTGGTGCTGTAAGCTTATATTCCCATAAAGCAACAATTACCTGAAGCCAATGAGTAATTGCTGCCTTCCACCTAAGTATGTTATCGAGGTAAAATACAAATCCAAATAAATATAGGAGTTGACAGACTGTGGGAAGTAAGTGAGAAGGAAGAGAAAACCAATGTCTTTGATGAAGTGATAGGGAAAATGATTTAACCCAGTGAAACCTTTGGTACAAAACCCTGATTTAGGAACAGGGTTGGGGAGTGATTGTAATCACACCTAACCTGTTTGAATAACACTTATCATATATCCCAGCACTTCTCTAAACTTTATTCATTTAATCTTTCAGTAACTATGAATGTTTCCTATAAAAAAGGAAATGGAAGCACCGAGGGTAAAGTAACTTGTCCCAGGGTCACACAGGCATATGCGGTAGCATTTGAACCCAGCAATTTGGCCTCTGGCTGTGCTCTTAATTCCTAAATATAATAAAAGGTGCCCTAAGTGTTGAAAAGGTTAGCAGCTGCTGCTCCAATTAGCAACACATCCTTAGAACACGGGTTCCCAGTACATCCTTTGTAGGACATAATTTGCATGACTGAATGGAGTGGGAATGAGAAGATAGTCTTCACTCAAATAAACTTAGAAAATGCTAGCTGGGTTTAAACAAGTTTCTTTAACTCAGAGATTTCTTAACACTAAAACAAAAAATGTTAAAAGGGAGATGGAGATATTGCACATTCATAGTTTATAAAAGCTCCTTTGCTTTTCTGTTTATTGGGTTTGTTTTGAGGACCATCACTACAGGACCAGTGTTTTGTGGAACATACTTCTGAAAAATGCCACATTACCTATACCCCCTATTCTTAATCCACCTTTTCCCAAGGAGCTGTCTCAGTATGCCAATAGGTAGAGATTTATCTGATTTCCTTTACAGGGTGGAAAGTTCTGCAAGGTCATGTGAATCCAAACATCACCTATATAATAAAAGCCTAATATCCTAAGTGTCCGGTTGTCCATTCAACCAATCAAAGTGTAATGTGCTAAAGGCATTCAACCACTCACTATAAAGTGTACTGATCACCAGGGGGCAGACAGTCAACTGGTCAACCAGTTGCTATGACTGACCACCAGGGGGCAGATATTCTGAATGGTAGGTTAGCTTGCTGCTGGGGTCCAGCCAATCAGGACTGAGCAAGACTGGCCAGACACGCCCGGGAGCTCTCCTGCAGCCCCTCCCACAATATCAGCATCACCCATACACAAATTCATGCACAAGGCCTCTAGTTTTATATAAACTTTTAAAAATTCATTAAAAACAAAAACCAAAACACTTCCTGAGGACCTGCCCAACCTATTGGGTGATGATAAGCGCCCAGGCAGAAACAGATGAGCAAGATGCTTGCCCTCTGGAGGTGTCCTCAACAAAGTGGAGTGGAGTAATGCAAAGCTGGTTAAGAGAAACAGTGGAGAAGGAAGGGGTTACTTTTGGCTATTGGGGCGTGGAGGAGAAAGTGGTCACGAAGGAAGTAGTCAGAAACTGCTTCATGGAATAAGGGAAGAAGAATGGAAAGGAATAGTTGCTAAGACCTGTATGTGCCAGACCTTCACAATTATTTTCTTACTAGCGTCCTGGTGCATGAAATTTGTGCACTCGGGGAGGGAGCTCCCTCAGTCCGGCCTGTGTCTTCTCACAGTCCAGGAGCCCCACGATTGATTGCCCTGAAGAGGAAAGCCCCAACCACCCACCGCAGTGCCACAGCCACGTAGCCTGGGCTTCCCTATGTGAAGTAATCTATCAATAGATAGATTGGGGCTCCATCATCAATAGCCCCAAAGAGGTAGGCCCTGCCCACCTGGTGATGACAGGACAAGGCCTCACACTCAGAGCCCGCTGTTAGATGCTGAACTTACTATATGCCACCAGGCATGTTCACATACATTACATCATGCACATGTGACCTCCCCCCACACAGAACTTCTCGTCTCCTTCCCAGCTCTGCACCAGGAATGTGTCCTGTCCCCTCGTCCTCCCTTCTGGTCAGCTGACTTCTCAATGAAGCCTTCTCACCTCCCTCAGACACAGGCTGCTCCCACTCAAAGCAGTGACTGAGGTGGACTGAAAGAGCTAACTGCCACTAAGGTGACCAGACAGTCCACCTCAAATGCCCCACCTTCCCCTCCAGGAGTGATCTGTACCGGCCGTACCTCTGAGGAGAACATGGTGGCACAGGTCCCGATGCACCAGCAGATCACGGGCTTGGTGATGCGGCCCTCCTTGATGCCCTGGCAGATCTTATTCTCCTCAGTGCCCCCTATCTGCCAAGGAACAGAGAACAAGGAAACCCGTGAGCTGGAGGAACCCATTCTGAGTTGCTCCAAGCAGACTGCAGCAGGACAATCAGTCCCAAATCAGGCAGAGGCCAGAGTCTAAAAAATGAAGGGACATGGGCTTGGTCCAAACAGCCTGGAAGACTGAGAGTGGCAGGGAAGAACTACTAAGGGACAGCGGGTATTTGAGGCGAGTCCCGGGGACCCCTCCTTCCTAACCTGTGGGTAAGATGATTTAGGACCAGATTTAGCACAGCCAGGAAATGGGATGGGGTTATAGGGCTCTCCCAAACTTAAAAAAAAAAAAAAAAAAAAAATCACATGTCGCCGAAACCGGTTTGGCTCAGTGGTAGAGCGTCGATCTGTGGACTGAAAGGTCCCAGGTTCGATTCCGGTCAAGGGCATGTACATTGGTTGTGGGCACATCCCCGGTAGAGGGTGTGCAGGAGGCAGCTGGTCGATGTTTCTCTCTCATTGACGTTTCTAGCTCTCTCTCTCTCTCCTTTCCTCTCTGTAAAATATCAATAAAATATATATTTTTTAAAAATCACGTTTACTCTTCAATCCAGCTATCACTGCCCACCAGGCAGAGACATAGTCAGCAGTGCAAAGCTTCTCCTCTATTGACACTAAAACATCTTGTGCGGCACAGAAGAGTTAACAGTGACGATCCCCACATCCCAAAGTCTAAGGGGTGAGACTACCAGGGACTGGCACCTTAAGTTATACGTAAAGAAATGCATGCACTTTTAAAAAACTGATGTCGTACATAACTTTAACAATCAAAAAAGTTTTCCTTTAACTCACCTCTCCAAGGACCACAATCATTTTGACTCCTGGAGTGTCCTGGTAACGTAATACATGATCTATAAATGTGGAGCCGGGGTACCTGGGGAGAGCACGGAGGGCATATGGGGTCAGGAGGCGGTCTGGAGAGGTGTGTGTTCAAGTATGGGAATCATGCTTGTATTAGGAATAGTGTGGGTTTTCATTGGTGTGGATGCCCAGAGAGTCCGGAGATGCCTTGGGGGTTGGTTGGGGGACGGAGTAAGTGGAGCAGGAGGAGGAAAGGGGAGGAGAGGAAGAGGCGGTAATAAGCCCAAAGAGGTTCTCTTGGTGTGAGATGCCTAGAAAGCATGTGTGGTGGTTTTAAAGTATGCCCACAAATTCTTTTTAAAAGGTGGAAGAACCTCATGCCTCTCCTCTTGAAAACGAGTTTAATTTAATTTAATGATTAGCTTCTAATGAACGAAATGTGGCGAAAGTGATTTTATGATATCTACTCCCAAGGCTGGGCTATAACAAAAACAGCTTTTTCTGGCACTCTCTCTTGAATTGCTCCCTCTTGGGAAGCCCCAATGCAAAGTCCTCAGGACACTAAGCAGTCTGGAGGCTCAGAGAGGAGCCACCTTGCCTGCCCCGTGGATGAGCCCCCTCCCGCCTCAGGCCTGCCTTCAGCTGATTGCAACTGAGGATCCATGTGTAGCCATACCCTGAGGACCGGCAGGGGCGCTTCCTCACCCAGGAGTCCCATCTGAAATGACATGGGAGCCAGGGAGACGGACCAGGTGACCCAGCCTCCCAACAGCTTTTGGTTCCGAGCTACAGAGTAGCAGTAGTAATAATGGTAATCGGCAATGGCTGAGGTTCATGAGGATATTAAGTACTACTGATTATTGTTCCCACCAACAAAAGGAATGACACTATTTGTGAAATAAGAACAAATATACATTGTTCTCTGTGCCTAGTTCCTGATCCAGCTCCTACAACCCTGTGACCTCCTGAGTGACAGGAGCATCTTTTGTTTTAGTGGTTGATCCTTGAGCCATGTTGCTCCTAAAAACCTTTTAATTTCCTGAGTAATGGGGGTGATAGAAGCTCCTAAATCCCTTGGAAGTCCTGGGTAATAGGAACTCTTGGTGGACTCCTGCATAGCTCCTGGGAGGGAGCTAGTCGCCAGAAAGACCAGAAGCCTGGAACTTTCAGTCCTACTCCCCATCCTCCAGAGAGGTGAGAAGGGCTGGAGACTGAATTAATAATAATCAATCATGATGAAGCCGCCACAAAAATCCCTAAATATGGGGAATGGAGCTTCTCAGTTGGTGGCCAGAAATGTGAGTGTGGTAATAGTAGAGGATAAAGCAACAGTTTTTCCTTTTACTATTATTAGCTACAATGAACACATACTGAGTACTTACTAAATGCCAGCCTGTTAGCCACTTTATAATACATGACCTCATTTAGTCTTCCCACCATCTCCATGAGGTAGGCACTATTATTTCACCCACTGATATGTAAGGATGACAGAGGTCTGGGGGTGGGGTAAGTAGCCTGTCAAGGATGCCCCTTAGTAAACAGGGAAACTGGGATTTGAACCCCTTTGGTGTGATTTCAAAATCCGTCCTGCTAATCACCGCACTCTGCTGCCTCCCCATGGCCACCTCAAACAATAAACAGAACTACCCTGCAGACCCTGATGCCTTTTTAAAACACCTTTCCGTGTATTTTGATTCTTATGCTCATGTTGGTTCTAAGGCAAGAGTGGACTTAAGATATCATTCCCCCCTCAAAAAATAAAATAAAATAAATAAAATAAAATAAATTTTTTTTAAAAGATATCATTCCCACCAGGAACTAAGACAAAACTGAATGCTAACTGTAATTGGGAAAACAAATAAGCCCTCTCACCCCCCCAAAAAAACAACACACAGCTGTGTGCCAGGAATTCAACAGTAGCAAGCAGTGTGGGCTTGTCCCCCGCTGATCACCTGTCCCCGCCAATGGCCACGCCCTCATAGACGCCATCTGTGGTCCGAGAGATGATATTGTTGAGCTCGTTGGACATGCCCCCAGAGCGCGAAACATAGGCCACGCTGCCAGGGCGGTACAGCTTGGAGGCCAGGATGTTGTCCAGCATCCCGCCAGTATTCCCAATCTTAAAGCACCCAGGCTTGATGCCTCCGACCTGCAGGGGCAGAAATAGCAGTCAGGGAGGAAGGGTGAGCTCCAGATCAACCATCGAGCTCAGAAGAATCACCAAGCCCAGTACTACCAGCCCATGCCAGTCTGGCCAGGCTGGGGAGGAAATGATCAAGATAGCTAACACCTGCACATTGGATTTCCTACTTAAGAAGAATCTCAAGACATTATGCAAAAATAAGTAAATAAATAAATAAAGCCTTATTTATAAAACATGGCTTACTACTGACAGGTATATTCAGGGCTAAGTCATCTCCTTTGCTCTACAAGAGAGACAATGACCAGTAAAAAGGTATATATCACAGATGTGTACCTCTGCTCAAAATCACACACTGCCTCTGAGATGAAAGGTCCCTCTGTCTTCCCTTCACATAAATTTTAACATTAACAACCAAGTAAAAACAAAAACAAAAATATTCACAAAGCAATTTCTCCTTCAATAAAGACCTTTTGGTCAAAAATAAAGCCTCCAGGTAGATTTTTCTTTGGTTTCAAGTTAAAGGAATAATCAAAGAGTATGCAATGTTTGTATGAAAGTGGGCAAACACTTAAAACAAGAATCTTCTCATTAGTCCCTTGAAACTATATAACAGTGATATGAACTGGAGAGTGGGCTTATAAAAAATTAACTGGAAATGGACAGACTGACTTTCAAGAGGTACCTCTAAATCTTTTCAACTTAGAAGCGAAACAAAGAGTCAACAAGTGAGTTTCCAGAACGTCTTAAAAGAGCCTTGAACTTAAAAGGCTTTTTAGCCCTAGCCAATTTTGCTCAGTGGTTAGAGTGTTGGCCCTCGGACTGATGGGCCATGAGTTTAATTCCTAGACAAGGACACGTCTCTCATACCTTGATTCCTGGGTGCATGCAGGAGGCAACCAAGTGTTGTGTCTCTCTCACATGAATGTTTCTGAGGTTTCTCTGTCTCTTTCACCCCCTCCTCCCTCCCTCCACTCTCTCTAGAAATAAAAGGCACAAATATCCTCGGGTGAGGATAAAAAAGGCTTTGTGGAGAGGAAGCTCACTGTGGCAGGTCCAATGATTGTCACTCCCTTCTCGTCCGCCTTCTTGATCAGCTTCCTTGTGAGGGCCTCAGGGATACCTTCAGCTATGATGGCAATGGTCCGGATCTAGAGGATGGGAACAGTCCTGCCTCATTAACTTGTCACCTCAGGCGGGACCAAGAAGCAGCAACCATTCAAGAACCCACCTCCCATGTCCCCTTCCAGGCTCCAAGGACAAAGTAAAATTAGTAACACGCACTGCTTCTTTCCCCTAGTCTCTGTTCCTAACCTGATCACACCAAGCCTCCCCCAAAAAGAGAGGCGTGGACATCCCAAACTGATCTCCATTGCTAACATCACGGTGATTCGGGAACCAAGCAGGAGCAAATGTTTCCCCAAAATCTGCTCTCGTCAAAGATTTTTCCCCCTCTCCCACCCGAATTCACAAGACTCGGACACTTGTTCCCCACCTGCACACACACAAGCTATCTCTGGCTTTCTCTGCTGTGCCCTGATTCTATGTCCTCAAAGATCAAGGCTAGAATGTGCCAGAAAGGAGCTGCTTCCACAGTCGGAGGAGAAAGCCAGAGAAAGTGGGGAGTGGGCAGAAGAGAATGAGAACCGTCTCTGACTCTCACGCAGGGGCTGGCAAACTGTTCTATAAAGAGCCAAACAGTATTTATGCTTTGTTGATCATGTGGTCTCTATGGTAACTAAACTTTGCCTTTGTGGCATGGAAACAGCCACAGATAATATACAAATGAATGAGCGTAGCTATGTTCCAGTAAGACTTTTAACAGGCAGAGGGCTGGGTTTGGCCCTAGAGCTGCAGTTTGTCAACCTCTAATCTAGACTAAAAATCCAACTCATTTTTAGCAAGTATGCTTTCGTTTTTGCTTCACCTAGATATCCACACAAGTTTATCTTCTCCAGTTATACACTGAACCAAACCAGTCCAGAATCGGACAATAATTATGAGCAGATGAATCAATATTTTTTTCCATTAAGGAAGTCTTACAAATCAGTAACGAAGAAGACAAACACCTCAATGCGGGGGAAGGGGGAGGCCATGTCATAGATTAGAAATGGCCAATAAATGTTCTTTAAAGCTCATCTTAACCGAAGGTCTGCAAATCAAATAGAATGCCTATCAATTTGTCAAATAGATGTTTTTAAAACGCAAACATTGTGTTGGTAAGGGTACAGAAAAACAGGAATTCTCAAACTCCTGAAGGGCACGTGGGCAGGATGGTCCAAGAGCCTAAAGTCTGCTCATTTTGATGCAGCAGTTTGACCTCTAGACATTTATTCCGGGGAAATAATTAAGGATATGTACAAATGTTACTCCAACATGCTCATCACCATACTTGACAAGCAAAACTGATACTGCCAGTGAGTATTTACGCTGCGGAAAGAGTAATTGAAGAAAACGGATTATAAAGTAAGTCTGTAAAAGATTCCACTTGGTCAAATCCAGGAAAAGATGTGGATAAGGGTGTACGCAAACATAGCAGCCGTGTTTCTGGGAAATGGGACTTGAAGTACTTATTTGCTCCATACCCAGAACTTCTTGATGGCCCAGTGAGCAGCCCGCCTGCTCTTGGTTACTACCCTCCCGCCTGAAGATCAAGTGTCTCAACCACTCTCACCCACAACACTGCCAGTCCTGAGTCTAAGCCCTTTGTCCCCGGTGGCGGTGAGCATGAACTCCACTCGGGAGCTTTCCCTTCTACCCCCGTTTATCCCTAGGGCCGTGACTACCTGTGCATAATTCATGGTCTCAACTGTACTGTCATAGGCAGAGCGAAGAGAGGCGAAGTTGATCAGCACGTCCACCTCTGGGTGTTTCTTCATGGCATCAGCCATGTTCTTGAAGACAGGAATCAGGATCTCCTTGTGACCCCAGTAAAACTTCTGCTTGTGGTCCCCCCTGTGAGGAAGGCAGAGGAGGGGTCAGCACAACCTGTCCGGGTTGGGGACGGGGTCTACCGGGGAGGAGCTTCTAGAAGGTGGAAAGGCAGGGTTCTGCCCTCAGCTACTGGAAAAGACGCTTCAAGAATATGGCTCACCCCAGTCTGGGATGGGCAGTCGCTTCCCCAGCAAAGGGGATAAGTGAGCTCCTCCCCAGCTCAGTCTCAGTCAGGGAGATTAGATGAGAAAACGCCACTTGGCAGCCATCTGCAGCCTTCCTGCCGTGGCATGACTCACGTGAAAGGGTAGACCATGGCGGCCACCGAGGGCTGGTCTCGGGAGCAGACGTAGTCAAAGTCCAGCATGCCTTGCACAGCCCTGGTCTGCATGCCCCACACAATGGCCTTGGTTTGATTGCTGAAGAGGGTGGCGCTCTTTCCTGCTGGGCAAAAACACAGCGAGTGCACCAAGAGCACACCCCCCGGTGAGACCCGCAGCGGCAGGGTTATCTGCCAGACCCCTCCATGCCAAGTCCAGGGAGGGTGGCTGATCAAAACCACAAAGGAAGGTTAAGAGGATGGAGTTCTGAGAACTCGGGGAAGAGGTGGCCTCAATTTCTTCTGGACAGAGGTGGCAGAAAGTAAAGAGCTCAAGAGATCTGCCTGGCTAGTCAACAGCTCAGAAACACACAGAGATAGGACTCCCAATGCAAAGAAGGGGCCCCAGAGAATTCCTACAGGGCCTGCTCAATTTCACAGGAAAGGCATGTATGTAATCAGCCTCCTGGTCATATGCAAATGGGCACTTGATAAATTATTGTTAAAGTCACTGGAAAATTTTGGTGAACGCAGGGTGTTCCACAACCCTCCACAAGCCTTATCACCTCGAAATTGGGACATAAACCACCTTACGACAGGACCTGAATCCTCACAATTCTAGGTCAGTGCAGGTCCAATGAAGAGGTTTGCTCAGCCTTATCTCTCGGTTCCGGCCAGGCTCTGGCACGGGCAAGGCGAGAGCAATACACTGCCTATTCCTCCTGCTCTCCTCCCTCAACTAGGTGGCTCTTTCCTGCCCAGAACAATGCCCTTGGATGGGCTCCCTGGCTGCAGGAAAGGGGTGGGGGCAAAAGAAAAGAACAAAACATCTGGCACAAGTGGATTCCTCAGTGTTGGAGGAAAAGGCCCCTTCACCACCCTCAGGCAGGTGGCCTCACCCTCCCTTCCCTGAAGTGCTAAGAGAGTAGCCCTCAGGGGAAAACAGTGCACCAAGCTCAGTGGCATCTGGCATTAATGAACCTACTATACTAATGCAGACTTGACTAACCAAGTTCAAGGTCTGGTTAAATTAATTTAAGCTTTAGCTAGTTTGGCTCAGGGTCCCAGATTCAACTCCAGTCAAGGGCACATGCCCGGGTTGTGGGCTCGATCCCTAGTAGGGGAGGGCAGGAGACAGCCAATCAATGAGCCTCTCTCATCACTGAGGTTTTTCTCTCTCCCCCTCTGGCTTCCTCTCTGAAATCAATAAAAATAAATAAATAAATAAATAAATATATATATATATATATATATATATATATATATATATATATAAAATTTTTTTTTTTAAGCTCAATTTCACAAGGCATACAGAATTCTCATCTCCGCAGGCCCGCCTCTTCCATCACAGCCATAAGCTTCTCATGACACAGGCTCCTGTTGTTGCAAATACCCGGGATTTACTGTCACCGGACCCAACTGGATTCTGACAAGACATGAGATCACAGAAAAGCGAAGCCACCTAATCCAGTACCGTCACTTCTCAATCCCAGAAAATTGAAGCCCAGAGATGCCAGATGACTCAGATCCTAGGTCATCCAGCATCAGAGCC